CCATCACATTGGAGATTAAGTTTCAACATATGAATTTTTGGGGCAGGACACATTCAGTCTATAGCAAGGATCCCTTGTGAGGGGGAATCAGAGAAGGAAAAAGTTTAAGCTTGGTATGTAGATAAAAGCCAAATATTACTGCCACATTGCGACCCCAGTGGTGAGGGGAAGTTCTCCCAGTGAAGAGATCTGGACAGCACATCTGGTCACCCACTTGGTGTGGAAAGAGAAAGTCCGTAACAGGTAATGTATGTCGACCTGGGAATTAATGACATTAATCTAGGCTAGAAATCAAATAGCCTCCACTTATCTTCACTCAGAGTGAAGATCAAGGACAAGAAGGTCTGAGGATGAGATGTCAATGGGCCTATAGGAGTAGTCTTTAAAAAAATATTAAATCTTTACTATTGAAAATATTACATATGTCCTCCACCCCCCCTCCCCCCCGCATTGACTCCTTCTAGCCCACTCCTACCCCCTGCCCCAGGCCTTCACCACCCTATTGTCTGTGTCCATGGGTTAGGCATATATATGGTTGATCTCTTCCCACCCCCCTTCCCTCTGAGATCCCACACAGGAGTAGTCTCAAAGTATGAAGATCTTTGTATCACAGGTTAATGCCCACTAGAAAGCAACCATCAGACGAGGCACTGAACAACCACGTGGCAGGATGAGTCAGCCGCTGTCATCAGCTGCCCCGTTTTAAACAACGGATACACTGAATGAGTTAACTAGTGGTAGGGATAGAGGAAACTGCTTGTCAATTTCTACAAAAAAATTTACTAGGATTTTGATAGAAATTGCATTAAATCTATAAATTTGGGCAGAATTGCTATCTTAACAATATTAAGAGTTCCATATCTCTTTTATTTAGATCTTCTTTAATTATCTCAGCAATTTTTATAGTTTTCAATGTTCAGCTCTTGCACTTTTTCAAAATTATTTTATTCTTTATTATGCTAATATGAATGAAACTGTTCCTTCAATTTCATATTCAGATTGTTGCCTATAAAAATGCAAATTTTTAAATTTATCTTATATCCTGACATCTTGCTATACTCAGTTATTACTGCTGGTAATTTTTTTAAAAGTATTTTTTTAATGTTTTTATTGATTTCAGAGAGAGGAAGGGAGAGGGGGAGATAAACAGAAACATCAGCCCTGGCCGGTTTGGCTCAGTGGATAGAGCCTCGACCTATGGACTGAGGGTCCCAGGTTCGAATCCGGTCAAGGGCGCCTGCCCAGGTTGCGGGCTCGATCCTCAGTGGGGAGCGTGCAGGAGGCAGCAGATCCATGATTCTCTCTCATCACTGATGTTTCTATCTCTCTCCCTCTCCCTTCCTCTCTGAAATCAATAAAAAAGAAATATATTATAAAAAAAAAAACCCCAGAAACATCAGTGATGAGAGATTCATGGATTGGCTGCCGCCTGCACATTCCCTACTGGGGATCAAGCCTGTACCTGAACCATGGTTTATAGGTCAATGCTCAACCACTGAGCCACACCAGTCGGGCACTACTAGTAATTTTCTTGTTGTTGATTCCTTATATATTTTTTCTACACATAAACTCATGGTTCCTATAAATACAGTTCTACTTCTTCCTTTCCATACCATGTCTTTCTCTAGCTAGAAACTTCAGTACAATGTTGAATAGCAGTGGTAAGAGCAGATATCTTGTATTTCTAATCTTAGTTGGAAAAGCACCATTAAATATAATGTTTAGTAGAGTAGAACCTCGGTTCTTGAAGTTAATTCATTCTGGAAGGTTGTTCGAAAACCAAATCATTTTTTTCCCATTAGAAATAATATAAATTGAATTAATCGGTTCCAGACCCCCAATTATCCCATTTTAATTTCTTATATACAGTACATGTCTAATGTGCTATTTAATCTATAAACACATTAAAAACAAAAGGACATGACATGTAAATGAAAATTTAATAAAAAGGAAATGAAATGTACAGTAAAAAAATAAAAATTTAATAATAAGCAGCAACAAAAGCAAAAAACCCAAAAATATTCACAGCACAATTTCTTGAGATGTTAACAACCTGAGGTTTAAAGGTAAACTGACTCGAAAAAGGGTTGTCAGGTTGAGAAGTGAATTGTTTAACATGGGAGATGTTTGAGAACTGAGGCTTGATTGTATAGGTTTTTGCTAATACCCTTTTAAAATGTCTAAAAGTCTTATTATCCCCCCACATTTAATCATAGTTCACTTGAGTATAAAATTCTAGAATAGAAATTATTTTACTTTAGTATTTAAAAAAGCAATGCTCCATTATCTTTATTTCCTAAATTTTTTTTTTTTGAGAGAGAGAGGGAGAGGGAGAGAAAAACATCTATGTGAGAGTAAAACATTGATTGATTGCTTTCTACATGCCCCTTACCAGGGATCAGGACTGTAACCCAGGCATGTGTCTTGACTGGGATTCAAACTGGCAACCTTTCAGTGCACTGGACAATGCCCAACCGAGCCACACCAGCCAGGGCCTGTCTATCTTTTATAGCCTTCTGTTCTGGTTTTAGGGACATATCATCTCATATTCCTAAGGACATTAAAGACTTGTGTTCTTGCTAAATTTTCATCTTTCTGTATAGTCTGTTTCTCCCAAGTTGCTTCTTCTGTTTGTATGAATCTCCATCCTTCATGCTGGAGACTGTCCACAGATGTCTGGTAATCTCTGGCTCCATTTGTGCCTTCGGTGGTACTCTAACAGGCTGATCAAAAATATCAATCGTAGCCTTGGCCGGTGTGTTCAGTGGTTAGAACGTCAGCCCACACACAGAAGGGTCACAGGTTTGATCCCCAGCTCCAGTCAGGTGCTTGCAGGAGACAACCAATCAATGTGTCTCTCTCACATTGATGTTTCTCCCTTACCCCCTCCCTCTCTCTAAAAGCAATGGAAAAATATCCTCTGGTGAGGATTAACAACAGCAACAATAAAAATCCACTACATTCTTATATACTAGAAGAGTTCAGAGAATTTTTTTTAAAGGTGGGAAGCCCTTGTTCTACTAAATACAACTACAGTATTTAAGTGTGATATGGCTCATTGGATGCATGGCTCAGTTGGTTAGAGTTTCATCTTGTCTTGGTCAGGGCACATACAAGAATCAACCATATGGCCCTAGCCAGTTTTCTCAGTGGTTAGAGCATTGGCTCTGGACTGAAGGGTCAAAGGTTCAATTCTGGTCAAGGGCCAATCAATGTTTCTCTCTCTCTCCATCTCCCCTTCCCTTCCTTCCAGTCTCTAAAAAATCAATGGAAAATATATCTTCAGGTGAGGATTAACAACAACAAAAAAGTGTGATATGGACACAAAGGTGGACTACTAGATTAATAAAATAGAGTCCAGCCAGTGTGGCTCAATGGGTGAGTGTGGATCTATGGACCAGGAGGTCACAGTTAGAGTCCCAGGGCACATGGCTGGGTTGTGAGCTCAATTCCCAGTAGGGGGTGTGCAGGAGGCAGTGATCAATGGTTCTCTCTCATCAATGATGTTTCTATCTCTCTCTCCCTTCCTCTCTGAAATCAATTAAGTGTGTGTATGTATGTATATACACACGTACACACACACGCGCACGCGCACACGCGCGCGCACACACACACACACATACACTAGAGGCCTGGTACACGAAATTCGTGCATGGGTAGGGTCCCCTAGGCCTGGCCAGCAATCAGGGCTGATCAGGGTCTTCTGGCTGCCAGCTGGGGCCTTCCTTAGTTCCTTGCTGCCCCCTGGTGGTCAGCACATGTCATAGTGAGCAATCGGTCTCCCAGTTGAACTCCCAAGGGCACACTTTGCATATTAGCCTTTTATATATATATAGGCATATATTATATATATGGTGAGAGAAAGAAATAAAAGACCAGCACAGGGATATATAAGTTATCTGTATGTGTATTTGTAATATTTGTACATATATATGACTATTTATGTTTTCAAATGGAAATAAAATTGGTCCCCTGATCCATACCATATAGGAAGATAAATTCCAGGTGGATTTATAAACCTAAATGTAGCCCTAACCGGTTTGACTGAGTGGACAGAGCGTTTGCCTGCGGACTGAAGGGTCCTGGGTTCGATTCCGGTCAAGGGCACATGCCCAGGTTGTGGGCTTGATCCCCAATAGGGGGTGTGCAGGAGGCAGCCGATCGATGATTCTCTCTCATCATTGATGTTTCTATCTCTTTCTCCCTCTCCCTTCCTCTCTGAAATCAATAAAGATATATTTAATAAATAAATAAGTACCTAAATGTAAAAGGCCAAACTATAGAACCCACAGAGGATAATAAAGGAGAGTATCCTTTTAAGCTTGGGTTAAGAGAGATTTCTAAAAATATAAATAATAACCATAAGTGAAAAGATAAATTTGGCTACAATAAATCAAAAGATAAAAGAATGAAAAGATTAAATTCCATTACTATATTTCCTCTCCTCTGTTCTTGAGATACCTCCTTAGAAAAATCCTTTTATTTTCGTTTTAGTGGGATTTCCTGAGGAAAGAGGTAAATAAATCTGGAAGATCTGCTCTTCAAAGCCATAGTGCTAAAAACTTTTTTACTGAGAAAAAGATCCATAATGTTGTGCTAAATTACAGCTTATCTAATATATATATAAAAAATAAAAGCATACCAGTAAAGGAAGAAATATTTGCCCATGTAGTTCCTTAAATTATCCCATGAGCTATCCAATCATAGTGATCCCACACCAAGGGAAGCAGTTACCCCTATAATTCCAAGCACTCTTGCTATTTTTTTAGAATCTGATGCATCCGTGTCTGGAAATGCTCTTGGGATTATCTCTACATATCCTATCTCCTCCAAGAGAAAAATTATTTTCTACTAGTACCTGATCTTTACTTATCAAATCGGGTTTTGGAAGTAGAACAAAATATTAAGAAACAAGGAGATGGTTTTGGGCCATGATAATTTAGGAAACCCTGGATGGTGCTAGAAAGTGGAACAACCTTAACAAAACCAAGACCAAGAAATTAGCATAAATAAGGGTTTTATTGGTCAGTTTGCATGAATGACATACTGACATGCCCCCAATTCACTGTTCCACACACCAAGGCCCTGAGGTGACAGGAGGAGAAGCTAAGCCCATTGATGGTGAGAAAAGGGTGGGAGGTGGGAAGAACATGAAGGCCTCTGAGGGTTAACAAGGCTACTGGGACCGAGACCGGGACCAACGACCTAGGAATAAATCCAGGATGGAAAAGGCATCATCCAGGGCTGGAGCTGTTGGTGGTTCTGGATCTAAGAAAGAAAGTGATACACATAGACACACTAAATGGCGAGGCAGAGGCAAAGGATGGGAATAATACTAAAAAGTAGGAGAGTAAGGGTTTCCCTTTTCCAAAGAATTAAAAGATGGATCCCTTTGATTCACACTCTTCACTTACCAGCTCTAGGACTGCCATCTGCTTCTTGAAGGGTTACTGTGGTTTCCTTTCGGCCCTCACTGTCCACCACAGTCCGGCGCTCCTCTACTGTCTACAAGCAGAAGCCCCCACCATAGCCTTCACATCACTAAAGGTGAGGTCCCTGGTTTCTTTACAAAGATCCCTCTGTCCAAAACATCCTTAGCCACAGTTCCTTTTACCCTTCTCCCCAACTCACCCCATCTGGCCTAGTGATCTTGGTCACAGAGACACTCTTGAAATAGGATTTGGGCTGGGGCTGCAGAACTGGGCCAAGGCCCTCCTGGGAAACCTGGGAATCAAGATCTAGAAGGACAGAGAGAAGAAACAGGAAAGAAAGAGTCTAAGGGAAAGGAGGAACAAGTGTGTCAGGAAGAAACTTTCGGGAGGGAGAACAGAGAGAACTTCTGAAGAACAGAGGGCTGGTAGATGTCCTCTCAGACTCACCCTTGTCCTCTTTGGCTCTAGACTGGGGGGTCACAGGCCACATATCATCAAACTGCAGAAGCCAAAGGAGATGAAATGACATCTTTCAATCTGAAACTTGAGGAGTCACAGAACTCAAAATATTCCCAACTTCCAAAACCACCTCTCCCAAGGAGATGATCCCATTCATGATCGCTTTATTTACTCATTCTCTCTTTCCTAGCTGTTTTATGTATCCTTCTACCAAAAAAGCCTTTCTGCCCTGGCTGGTGTGGTTCAGTTGGTTGGAGTGTCATCCCCTGCAATGAAGGGTTTTGGGTTTGATTTCCGGTCAGGTCACATACCCAGGTTGCAGGTTTGATCCCCCATCAGGATGTGTGCAGAGGCAACCTACCAGTATTGATGTTCCTCTCTCTTCCTCTCCACCTCTCTCTCAAATCAATAAAGACATATCCTTGGGTGAGGATTGGAAAAAAATAAAAATAAAAAAAAAATAAGTAAAAGAGGGGATGGTAAATTAAAAAAAAAAAAAGAAAGCCTTAATGAACTGTTACTTTCCTGACCTCCCCCAATAATCCTGTCTTGTCCAAGAATCACATAGACCAGTGTTTCGTTTGTGTTTTTTTTAAAGAAAAAGCAGAACTCCTATTTTCCCCAAGAGAAAATACTACAAGCAGCTTAATATAGGAAACAGATAAATACACTAAGTGGAGGGCCCAGTATTTCAACCCAAGTCTGTTAGATTCCAACAAGGATTTCAGTTTTCGCACTCTATTAGGTGTCTCCCACAGGCTTTCATTTCCGGCTCAGATGTACTCACCCTATGAAAAGGTCTCTGGGAGCCCCAGTCTGGTGCTGGTTTTGGAGAGTCAGTTCTTGCATCACTCTCCGAGACCCCCCCAAAGATCCTGTGTTGGTGACTATCTGGATACTTAAGCATTGAGTCCCGAAGTGTCTGTCCCTCCTGCAATCTCTCACTAGGTGTCTCTGACTCAGGACCTGGAAGTTCTGCAGAAAGATGGCAAGTGTATGGATGCTGGGGGAGGGAAAGGACTTGGGATCTCTTAATCCCCCTTGAAATCATCAGTCTTCTCACACTTCCCACCCCCCAACTACTTTCTGCAGGCTCTTCATTTCACCCACCAACCCAGTAGAAACCATAGGTTCTCCCTCAGGGGCAGCCACACACCAGGAGGACGGGAAGGCAAGGTCCAGGCCCCCATCTCGCTGAAGATGTTATTAAAATCCCGTACTAGGTCATCAAAGCCGAAGTTGTCGTGGAAACGCATCCCTCCTCCAGGGGTGAAGCTGAAGCCGAAGCCAAATTCCTCAGGGGGTTGGGGACCCTCAAACCTCGAGCTCCCAGGGCCCCAGGTGGCTCCTCCTTCTTCTTCATCGTCATCCTCATCTTCATCTCGAGTCATCCCTCCAAAAAAGGGATCCCTGTGGCTGGGGCGGAGGCAGATTGGCCACCAAAATCTCAGCACTCACTCCTTCAACCATACAATCAACTCATGGGTGGCAAAGCGGGACAAGAACAGGTGTCTGGGGAGCTGGTGTGAGGATCAGAAGACTGGCCATCGGGGTATGTTTTTAATCAGGTAGTCCTCACCTCGCGACGCCTCCCAAACACCGCCCCTCCCTCCTCCCAAGGTCCTGCTCACGCGCTCACTGACCTCCACCCCGAAGCCCCACTGTCTTCCCCGCCCGGGCCCTGTTGCATCACCCCAGATTGGAGAAAGGCTTAAGCTGTTGCTTTCCCTCCTAACGACCGCCTTGGTTACTGTCGCGGGGTGAGTGTTCAATGTTGTGACTTCTGTTCTCTCCACAGGAGTTGGAGTGGAGATAGGAGATGTTTTTCCAAATATACGGTGTCAGAGGTCAAGCTCCCCTCAGAAGACCCCCCCTCCCTTGTCCGACCCGGATCCATTCTCACCTCCGAGGTCCAGAAAAGCCGAAAAAGCCCCGAAAGAGGTCAAAGAGGCTCATTCCCGTGCTGGGATTCGAACCTCCAAAGCCCACCTGAGGCCCATTCACACCGGGAGGAAAGCCGGGGCTACGCCGTCGGAAACTAAGCGAAGAGTCAGCTTACGCTGCCGGAAAGCAAACCTGCGATCGACACCCCGTCGTAAAATGGCCGTAAGCAGGACGCGGAGGGGGCGGGGCAGACGGGCCTCTCAAATGCGAAAGGCTTTCATTTCGCAGCAGCAGTTCGTTTGTTTTTTTCTGGTAGTGGGCGTCCAGAGTTTTCATCTTCCAACGATCACCTGTCTCCTAAGCCACTTCTCTCTCCTGCCGACCAACCCGGCCCAATCCGGTATCTCGAGGGTTTCATGGTGCCGATAAAGCCGCCAGAGAGCAGCCCATCCGCACAAATGAACCGGTCCCGCGCCCGCCCTCACCGCCGGTTCACCACCCCCGTGGACGACCAGTCCTCCATCGGAAACCACCTGGCGCCTTCTTGACTGGCCTCAGTGAAGTCCAAGTGGGATGGACAAAATATTTCATCAAGCTCCTTCAGTACCCAACTCCCCGGACCTAAGGGAGTTAGACATGGGGACACATGCACTTCATCTCTCCAGCTAAGGAGCTTATCATTACCATACAGGAGTCTTTTAATTTTTCTATGCAGGCTTTACAACCAGCAGAATAAAGGCTTTGTGAGAGACCAAGGGAAATCTAGTGGAGTCTCGAAGAGAAGAAATAATTTGGGGCTCTTAAGTATCCCCCTTTCCCTATCATTCGTGGCTTTCAAAGCCTCTCCCTCCTGCACTCCTACCCCAATCTCATCCCTGGCCTTCCTCTAGACTCCTTTTAGGGGGTTGGATATAGCTATGGAAAATGAAACCACTCAAGCAGCAAGAAGTACTTCTAGGAAAATTGGGCCCCAAACTTCAGTTTTGCCAGCACACAGTGCATGTTGCCCTACTTTGCAATTCACTTGCTTGGACTCAGCTAAATTATACTTTGACTTTACAAAGGCATTTCTTTCAGCTCCTTAATCCTCTCCCTTTCCACCCAATATCCACTCTCCCACTCCCTTTACTGCCTGAAATCTGCCGTATATGTAGTAGTTTTTGAAGGAAATTAAGATTTGAGGTGGTTCTTTCCAGGCAACAGGCTGTGAAATTCTTAGGGGAGAAGGGAAGAGAATCCCCTCAAGGGCACAATACTAAATCATTAAGGTCAGAGGTGTTCTTAAAGGATGAAGATTTCATTTTATTCCACTGCCTTCGGGGCCTGCTAGAAGAGGCCCAGTTGGTACAGTAATACTTATTCACCAAGCTGGTCATCCGCGAGACTGAGGATGTCCTAGACGGAGCAAGAATGGGCAGAGGCTGAAGGTAGATGTTTTCTTTTTATATATACAAGACACATTAATCCATTAAATTTGAAGACACAGTACAAAAAAAAAAAAAAAAACCACTTCAACTAATCCATCTGACAATGCTGTTCATATTCATGACGCCATTTTTTGTTGTTGTTTTGCTTCCTAATAATAAAGGAGGAGACATAGGGCTGTTGGGCTGATATATATTTGGGGGTTCCCCCCTCCCCACCTCACCCATACACCACTAGGGTGAACAGGAGGAAAAGGAAGGGCAGGGCCCACAGCCAAGTTTCATAATCTTGAATGCAAGGGGGAAGGAGGAAAAGAAAGGGGGGTGGGGGAGTGAAAATACAAATCCTATAATACATACAACAGAGTGGGGATGGTATGGGAATGAACAGACATGAAGCTGAGGCATGGGGTGGGCCACTGGGGGTGAGGGTGGGGCAGCGGAACCCCTCCACATTCCTCTCTTTGATGCTGTTTCCATAGTTGCCAGGCTGAGAAGCCCTCTCAGAAGATGGGACCAGGAAGAGAGGGTCAGGGCCTCAGTTGGCCCCCCAGCTGTAGCTGTTGTAGGCAGACTTGTTGGTCTGGGGCTTCTGCGGGATGGAGCTGGTCTGGCTACGTTGCCCGCTGCCCGTCTGCAGGGGAATGGGAGGATGATGGGGAGGAAAAAGGTGTCTAGTTAGTGTGACAAATTTGTGACATCTTCAGGTGGAGATTTGGAAATCATCTTGCTTTCCCATTCCCCTTGCTTAGAAACTATTCTGAAGCTTCTCAACCACAGAAAATTCGGTTTATATGGCTGCCAAAGCACCTCTGACCAAAAAAACAAAACACAAACAAAAAGCAGCAAAAATCCCCGCAAAAAACCCTTTAAACAGGGGAAAGATGAAAAGAGGGCAAGATACCTGCAGAGATTAGACAGTGAATCAGTTCTACTCATTTTCAATTGTATCTTCTCCTCCCCCCATTCCCCTGCTCTGAGAAAAGGCAACTCTCTAGAGAGAATTATGGCCTCTTGAAGATGAGTGATCACAAGCGATTTCATTTTCATTAATCCCCAGGAAGGCCTCATTTGGAAAGCTGCCTTTGAGAGCAAAGCAGCCCTTATTCCAGCTCCCCAGGAACCTATGGTGGAGGAGAGGTCACTTGTACCATCCCATGGCTCCCCACCCTGCCACATGTATCATATCTGTGAGCCCATTACAGGCAAGGTGGAGAGACAGTCTCGAGGCCCCAGGCTTCAGATGCTGCCCCAAGAATCCTTTCCATTGCAGTAACCAAGTGTTCCCAGAGGTGGGGAAGGGCAGAAAGAAAGAGAGCATTGAGGAGGGGAGGACAAGAGAGGAATGGGAGGCCAGAGAGCTCAGCAAGGTGTTTGTGTTTGTGTATCCCGATTTGTGATCGTGCAAACTTTTCTCAAATTCCCTAAGGCTGTGGAGGTGTAATGGGGACTGAAAAGGAGTGGGTTCAAGCATATCATTCAGTTTCATTACCTGCTCCTCCTGCTGGCGCTGGCAACAGAGAATCATCTGCAAATATGGTAGCTGAGGCAGAACCAGGATATATGGAAAATAAAGGGACAAACTTTGACAATAGAACTCCACCATTATTAGAAGGGAAAGCTATAATGTGAGGGAAGGGGGAGGGCTGGGAGAGGTAAGAGGGAAGGTGTGACCCAGGTCTGATGGGATGAGGAAAACTGTGATATGGGAGGAGGTGGAGGAGAAAGGCACCAAAGGAATTGGGCAGAATTAGGTTTCAGTCTGGCCCCTTCTCTGACATCTCCTTTGCCGGCCACTCGTGTTATGTGCGCTTGTGTCTGTAATGTGCTGTGTGCCCATGGCTGGCGCTGGGGAGAATTGGGTGGAGGTGGTGGTGAGGAAGGGTAAGAAAAGGAAAGGGGTGGCAGTTTTAAGGGATAAGAAGGAAGAGGAAGAGAAGGAGAGAGGGAGGGCTATTACCTGGCCATCCTGCTGTAGGTGATGGTGAAGGATCTGGGAGTGCGGCTGCTGATGGGGGGTCAGAATGTGCATAAAGGGGGCAGGTGGGTAGGCAGCAGCTGTGGCTGGATTGATGGGCCCCCCACTTCCTAGGGCTGAAGGCAAGTTGAAGGAGGCAGCAGGAGTACCGGAATGAAAACCTTGTTTCTCAAAGGATTGCTATCCAGGAAGATGGGAGGAGAGAGTAAAAGGGATGAGCAATGAATCCTTAGGATTTGAGCCCAAGCTCTCCCACCCTCAAAAAGCAGCATGGTGTCATAGAAGGAATGCTACACCTGAAGTCAGATATTCAAGTCTCAGTCTCAGCTCTGCACTTTAATAGCTGTGTGATCCTGAGAAAATTACTCTCTAAGCTTGTTCTCTAATATATAAAACAGGGATGCTTATTGACCTCTTAGTTGTAAGGACCAAATGAGAAGCTGGATGTGAAAGCACTTTATAAAATCTGTCATATACAAACATAGTGAAATCTGCTGACTACTCCTTAGCACCCCTATCTCTGGAGTTGGGTAGAAATAGGAACTCCATGGATTTTTTTCAAAAGAAATGCTGAGTTATCTTTAGTGTTAAAGGTCTTGGCCATGAAGCACTCCACTATAACTCCTAATACTTTATATCAAACTTTAAATTATTTATGGTGGTGGGAGAAAAAAAAACAAAAACAAAAAATCTGTGGATAATTCAAATGCTTTACTGTAGTTATTGACATGGGCTTTGCCCACTCCTTTCCCACTCTTTATTATAGATATACTTACAAAGAAGGGAATGAACTTACTTCCCTTCATTCCATATTCATTCTCTTTGAAAGTGATGCCCTGACCGGTTTGGCTCAGTGGATAGAACGTCGGCCTGCGGACTGAAGAGTCCCAGGTTCGATTCCGGTCAAGGGCATGTACCTTGGTTGTGGGCACATCCCCAGTAGGGAGTGTGCAGGAAGCAATTGAATCAATGTTTCTCTCTCATCAATGTTTCTAGCTCTCTATCCCTCTCCTCCTCCCTTCCTCTCTGTAAAAAATCAATAAAATATATTTTTAAAAAAAGTTATGAAAAGTTTGGGTGTGCATAAGTTAAAGACCAATTACACAATAAATCACATGACACATTAAAATTTTCCAACCTTCCTATGACATTTCTCATTTGTTCTCTCCCTCCCTGAAGACTAAATTTAAGCTTCCTCGAGAAAGTAAAGTCTAAAGATGAATCATTTGCTAGTAGAATGGGTTTCCTGACACCTGCTCACAGGTGTTAGGGCTGTTCCTGCTCACTTCTATCAATGCAACTCCATCTTCTCTATGTCCATCTCTCTTTTTCCACTTCCATCCAGAGCCAGGCACCTACCTGGGTTTTGGAGTACACAGAACCCGAGATATCTGGCACGCCCGTGTTACTGGAGGTGACTGAGACACCTGGGGGAGGAGGAAACAGAGGAGGATTAGCTCAGCTAGCTGCCTGATCCCTCTCCCTGGGAGGTGGTGAGTGACATGTGAAGTCTTTCTAGCTATAGCACGGCAAGGGAATTTTGGTCTGTTTTTCCATCTTCAGGTCAGTCTTGAGGGATAAGAGCTCATGACACAAAGGCTAGCGAAGGGTTCTCTTGTCCTTTCCAGGTGTGTACTGAGTATATTGTGAGAGTGAGGTGAGTGGGTTTTGGGGGGACAAGGGCAAACAGCCAAACTCACTAGTACATAGTTTTCAAAACACCTCGGTAGCAAAGCCCAACACTTATAATTATTACACTTATAATGTCCATTTCAAGTCAATCCACCCTAAATGCACTCAGTCGTGCTCCAGAAGACAGGTACTCTGGCTCTTTTCCTGTTCATGAAGAGACACTCCTGGGCTCAAAATCC